GGGGGGGGATGTGAAGGCATTCAGGTTTAAATTTGGGGAACTGGAGGCACAGATCCAATTCTCTAAATCAAGGCCCTCACCAACATAAGGAACCTTCCTTAGGGGTGGATAGTGGAAAAAAAGAATTTTCTCAGATGCATAGTGTTTTGATCATCAAGGGTGAGAAGCAAGAGTATAATTAGATTGTTATTATTATTATCAAAAAAGAAGCGCTAAGCCACAAGGACTATTATTATTATAATCAAAAAAGAAGCGCTAAGCCACAAGGGCTATACAGCGAACTAGATTGTTAAACCATTGAAATGGTTAGGTAAATTATTATAATCATGGGGAAAACGCTAAACCCAATTAAATTTTTATAACAAGGGGAAAACGCTAAAAACCCGGGGCATTATACAGCGCCTGGGGGTGATGTGGAAGGCATTCAGGCTTAATTCGGGGAACTGGAGCACAGATCCAATTCCCTAAATTGGTAACCCCATAGGATTGTACAACGCCTGTAAGGGGAAAGGGGGAATGGAAAGGGTTTTAGGCTTAATTCAGGGAAATGAAGCAAAATTCCAATTCCTAGTGTCAAGGTATTATATTATCAAGGGGGAAGCGTAAACCCGGAGGGTTATCGCGCCTGGGGAATGTGGAAGGCATTCAGGCTTAATTCGGGGAACTGGAGCAGATCCAATTCCCTAAATCAAGAGCCCCTCACCAGCATCAAGGAACCTCCCTTGAGGGGATGGTTAGGTAAATATACAATACTGGGCACTACATCTCATACCATTGCTCAGTGACAACTGGTATTAAGACCATTCTCCTGCGCAAACTAGAGATACTCTAGAATTTTGTGCAAAATCTGTGAATTTTAATGTTCTTATTAAGTGTCAATTCCTTATTTCAGAGCATTGTGTAAGATTGAAATGTTTCTTCACGAAGAAGGAAAGTGGAGAAGGACGGAAGAAACGAAAGTTGGAGGCCGAAGAAGCCATTATTATAATCACAGGGGAGCGTTAAACCCGTAGAATTATACAGCTCATGTGAGGGGGAAGAGGGAGATGGAAGGTATTCAGGGAACTGGAGCACAGAGCCAATTACCTAATATTATAATCATAGGGGAGCGCTAAACCCGTACGATTATACAGCACCTGCAGGGGGGGATGGAAGGTATTCAGGCACAATTCAGGGAACTGGAGCACAGATCCAATTCCCTAGATCAAGAGCCCCTTACCAGCATGAAGGAACCTTCCTTGAGGGGTGGAGAAAGGCAAGCAAGTTCGACAGCCTCCATGGGTCAAGGCAGGCTCTGTAATCTTGCTCTGCTGAATGTAGAAACAGAAAAATGAATGAATTTGAGCACATAGACCAATTTGCATCAGTGAAAGAATGCAAGGTGCACTTGTAATTTTCATGTAATGCCATAATTTAATTAAAGTTAACAAGCTTGACTATTGAACTGATTTTATGGTAAAGTTATCTGAATGATGGGTGTCAGATGTTCAGACAGGGGAGCATAATCAGTGCTTGCCACAGGCACTGTTTTCTGTAGGTAGCCCCTGGATGTAGTAGTTTCCTTTGCTATGCAGTACTCCTTGCACATGTGATGAGATGCCAAACTCCACCTTCTTTATTAAAGTTTCTGCTTACACTCAGGTTGGCTTTCTTCTTCGCCCCATCACTGGCTTTAGAGGCCGTTGTTAATAACCCTGCATAGGGTATTTTATTAATGACAATGTAAATCAAGAGCAAATTGGAGACCATATGACATGTGAAATCCATAGCAAACCGACACAAGGCTGAGTCACTGGCTGCCCCTGCCTAGGAACAATGACAAGAGTGTGGATGAAGGCCGGAACAAACCTGCAATAAAGCGGACTGTCTACTTTCACTGATGGTACGACTGGACCAGACACCATGGGATACAGCAAAAATTTTACAAGACACCCCACACACTGGACTTGCCAAGTCTTTGTCCAGCCAGTTTTGTAAAGTTTTATCTAACACTTGTTTTACAGAGGTCTTACAGTACTATAGATGCAGCCTTGCACAACATTATGGAAAAAAACATTGCTTGAACATGTAAAGTCTCGAAGAAAATCTTCGAGGAAAAGTGGTAGTGTTAGGAATGAAATGTTGAAATGCCAGATACGGTAAGAGTTGAAAGTTTTTTCTAGATTGAAACAGATAACTAAATTTTTGTTTAAAAAGGCAATGTGAATGAATGTACAATCTGAGTAGAGGGATGATGATCAAGCCCTTTCTCAAACAAGATTTGCAAGAGGAATTTCGGATCTTTAAATACCAAAAATGCCATTTATTGCACAGGGTTCTAGTAATATACAAAGAGCACTGGTAAAATTATTATTACATTCATATAACACTAAACCCAGGCAAGAACTTTTTTTTTAACAGTTCGGATGCCCATCCAAACTGCATCATCTTACCCCTCCTTCAGAGTGTAGGGATTGCAATTCCCACCTCCAGGACTCGAGTCATGCTAACTGGTTTCCCTGAATCCCTTCATTAATGTTACCTTGCTCACACCCCAACAGCATATAATCATAAAAACCACTTTCCTACACACACTATGTTCATAAATGCCTGTTGAATATCCAAGCCTCTTGCATACGAAACTTCCTTTACCCCCTCCCTCCAACCTTTCCTAGGACAACCCCTACCCCTCCACACCAGTCTACCTACACAATTCAGTGCAGAATGAAGTCTTCTGGGAAAACCCACAAACAATTGCAGAAGTCAATTTGAGAGGAAATGAACATGGGTAAGGACGAAAACACTCAGCCTATCAAGGTATTGACTTCATAAGAGTAATTATTATAATCAAAAAGAAGCGCTAAGCCACAAGGACTATACAGGACTTCATAAGAGATTACAGATAACAGAATTAAGATTTAATAATTTGGCTAATGTGCCCAACAAATAAAAATTAAATATCCAGGAAAATGCCCCATTCCTTTACTGATCCATCAATTGCAAAATGACTGCACCACAATCAAAGGGATCCAAGTCTCTGGTCTATATTTCCATCTAGATTTTCCCTGGTAAAATTTCCATCGAAGTACATCTTATCCTTGTTTAGTTCAAATTTCCTAGTCATCCAAGTACAAATATCCAACAAAAGACAACTAAAATGGAGTTCTTCATCTTTCATGTTCAAAACCTCTATGTAAACCTGTGTATTATTCATACTAATGAAACCAAATAAAGAGACAGAAGGTTGGGGGTATTTAGATTCACATTCTATTATTTTAAAGGGTGGAAGTAGATGACTTAGCCACTATAGATCAACTGTTCTTGGGTTGGTAAGTTATCATTTAGGTATGCATCAAAACTTGTTTGGAACAATTATAATCAAAACTAGGGCTAAACCCATAAAATTCATACAACACTGTAGGGTAGGGTGTGCTAAAGGTGCAATATGCTTTATCAGAGACCAGCGAGGGTGAAGAGTACGTCAGAGGTAGAGTTAGTAAGGGCAGTGATGAGTGCTAAAGGGAAGTATAATCCAAGTCAGCATGATAAAGCTGTTACTGACAAATAGAGAGAATGTGTGTCAAAGGTGGAGCCATCAGAGGGAAGATAAAGTAAAGGCATTAGAGCAGTGACAACGTCAAGAGGTAAATTCTGCACACCTGCTGGTACACTGGACAGTCTAATAGTACCCGTTTGGCAAACTGAAATTGGAACTTGACGATTTTTTTTTTTGTCACTTTTGTTTGGAAGATTCCCAGGCCTTTTTTTTTTTTTTTTTTTGCATATGATCAGGGTGTGTGTGTGTAGTGTACTATGTTAGCATTAGCATTGTCACTCAACTGTCATTCTCTCTGGCAGATAGCTTGAAGCTATTCTGCCCTTGGGCATGCAGATGATCTATGACTAAACTGTATAAAACTTTATGGTAAAACACTAGTTACTCTGAAGGTGTTTGGGCCAAAATGCTAAATTTTATTTAAGTTTGGACATCAGAAATGAAATATGCTTTGGCTTTATCTTGTTCCTTTATCAGGCACAGTATATTCTTTTGATAATTCATGTCAAAGTTTTATGCTACTCCAAAGAATACACATTCACTTAATCACTATTTAACATCCTCATATAAACCTGCTGGATGCATAAGTCCCTGAAACTCAAAACTACTAGTACCCTCAACAACCTGATTGACCAGGCAAGCACCAGACAAACCCCGCCTATGGCCGGGCTCCGAGAGTTGAAAAGCTTTTTGACGTAACTGCCCTCCTGCCTTCCACCACAGATTTGTACCCCCATTTTATCAGTCTTTTTCTATCCTCTCTACATGCTTAAAACCAAAATCCCATCTTCAGCTCTTTAAATTACACCCTTGGTCACCCTACATTACCTTTCATTTTCTATGCTTTGAACCTTCCTTTAACTAAGGTCATATCACAAAATAAATACATTGGATTAGATTCCCGAGTTAAAGTTGACTTCCTTAATTATATAGTGAAACTTTAAATGCCAGAAGAAACTTACACAAACATATAGCTAACTAATAACTTACAATCATAGAGATAACCAACAACTTGTATTTTTAGGAAATTTAATCATTATACAATGTATCAATTATGTGGTGTACAGTACTTAATTGACCAACGTCACTAGTAACAGTATTATTATAATAAAAAAGAAGCGCTAAGTCACAAGGGCCTAGTGACAGTAGACTTGAAATGGTTGACACTATGAAGAGACCCAACAACCAAGACCAACTGGTATGCAACTTCTGTCAGGATAAAGATAATTGAAAATTTGTGTCACTAGCCATGCTATCACATATTGCTTCCATGTATTAATTGTACTGTTGCTCGCCTTAATCATCTGTAGCCTTATTTTCTGAGGACTTTACTGAAAGTAATCAAACTACAACATATAATTTTTTATTAAAATTATCTGGCAGTTCCATTTTTAAAATAGTATTAAATTAGAGCAAGATAAGATGCTTACCCATTTACCTCACAGGAGGGATAATGAAATGCTGCTGCCTGATAAATCTTTAATGTTTCCACATAGTAGTAGTGGATAGTAAGCTTTATTATAATTACTGCTGCATATACAAGTACGACCTTGGAGCGGGCGGCGGTGTGGCAGCCGCTCGTCACCGAGTAGGCGTGTTGGCAAAGGGGAGGGCGGGCAGCGGGGAAGGGGAGGTGGGAGGAAAAGAAAGGCCCAACAGGAGGGAGGGAGGGATCGCTCAACTCAGGACAGTAAGTTGCCTTCTAGTGACTTGACTTTGCATACAATGAAGGAAACACAAGACTGCAAACGTGAGTATGAAGCCCGGGTGCGGGGTGAACCAGTGACAAGCTGACTACAAGCAGTCATCATTACCTGCTGGCATGGATGGGCCCACAAAGGGGCCGAGGAACCCATCCAGGCCGGCAGCATGTTCAGTGGGCAGGCGCAGTAGATGCCCTTGTGCACTACATAGCGGCCTGCACACACCGCCGCCCCCGGGCAGCCTGGGAGGGGGTGGGGCCGGCCGGTGGGGGGCGGCAGGCGCAGCCACACTAGGACAACATCCTCCTCAGTCATTGGGGTGATGACTCCAGCCACCACCAATTATCCTACCAAGAGTTTATGAGGCCACCATTACGTTGCGTCATTTTACGACTACCAATAATCCTTACGTGGGCAAGCAACAAAATATCATAACCATGTCAACACGAGTGACACCACAGCAATTGCATATGAGGTTGCCTTTAAACCTTTGAAAACATTAACAGTTATCATACATCACTCAATTTTAAAGTGGCACTTTAAAAACACTTTGACCTAAAATATGGGTACATATGAGGTACCATCCATGAAATTCTTTATCTTGAATGAAGCAATTTCACTGAGTTTAATGTCACCCAAACCACAAGGACTACAATTAAAAGCATTTAATTTGATAATTTTTTTTTGAGGCAAGCAGATCTGTCGAGGATGAAATAAGCGGTGCCTAGCAACATAAGAGGCAGCCCGCTGCTGCTGCCACCACTGCTGCTCCTTCAAATGCTTCCAGTCACTGGTGCATCTGGCCTCTGCTACCAACTTCCTCTGTTATTCATCATGCTTCTGCTGCTGGTGCTGCTGCTGCTGTTCGTAGTTGGGGCGAGTTCTACATCTGTGGATTCATGTCCCAGTTCCAGAGCTGTTATAACAAAAGCAGAATTGAAATGTTGTATAATGAAAAATTTACCAAAATTTTACAAAATTTGATGATCAGGCTGGTATAAAAAAGCTTAAAAATTATTTCACTAAGTAACAATGCAACACACTTATCTTACATAACTAAAAAACTTAATTTAAAGATTAAGATTTACACATACTGTACTGCTATTGGTAATTACAGTATAAGTGAACTTGAAAATGAATAATTATACTCAGAACTACAATTATTTTGTAGACTAATTGGCATCCAAGTCATAGCCTACTTTTAAAAGTGCCATATAGACAAATTATAAAATTCATTAAATATTTGGTAGGATAATTAAATGCCCTGCCATCAGTTTTGAGAATATTCACTTACACTTACCCACCCTGTCAAAATTAAATCAGATAAGTTTCCCAAAGCATGCAGTTAAAACTTGTACAATTATCAACCAATCTTTCCACATCCCATAATTTCTTGTGCTATACAGTATGTATATACATAGCTGATGACCATGCTTACTAACCCACCTCGATATTGATTTATTAATTGCAGTTTTACGTGTACAACATTCTTGCATACAAGTGCATCCACTGATTATACCCTTACCATAATTTTTAGCCTGCGTCTATATAATCCATTCTTTTAATACCTTTTATCAATTATTCATTAATTTCTCTACCTGATGTCAAACCACATTAAAGTAAACACACACTATTTACTTGTCAATGGCTTCGAACATGTTCTCGTTCATCTATTCAACTGTAATAGCAAAAGCTCAGCATTCACCACTGAAATGTATGTAAGTGATTTCATCTCATTAAACACAATACACACACTATAAAATCTTATTAATGCACCTCTTAAACCTAATTTGCTCCTTAATGCAATACAGTACATCAAACAGATCATTTTCACTGTAGTCCTAGAAACTTGTTAAATACTGTACATTAAACTTTCGTAGTGATAAAAATACACAATCAACTCAACAATTCTTCTCCATAAAGGAATATGGTATATGTGGGCAGTCAGAATACACATCCCAGCTCAAACCCTGTGCAGTGAAACACATGACAAGTTTCCTTACATACAATGACCTTGGTCACCTAGCATTAAACACACCCAGTGGCCACTTTATTAGGTACACCTGCTCATTACTGCAAAATCTAATCAGCTGACCATATGGCAGCACTTCAATGCCTAAAAGCACGTAGAAATGGTCAAGAGGTTCAGTTGTTGTTCAGGCCAAACATCAGAATGGGGAAGAAATGTGATCAAAGTGACTGACCATGAAATGATTGTTAATGCCAGACAGAGTGGTTTGAGTCTCTGAAACTGCTGATCTCCTGGGGTTTTCACCCACAACATTCTCTAGAGCTTATAGAGAATGGTGTGAAAAAACACAAAACATCTAGTGAGATGTAGTTCTGTGGGCAAGAATGCCTTGTTAATGAAAAGAGGTCAGTGGAGAACAGCTGACAGAAAGGCGACAGTAACTCAAATAACCACACATTACAACGTTATGCAGAACAGCATCTCTGAACACACACTATTTCAAACCATGAAGGGGATGGGCGACAGCAGCAAAAAACCATACTAGGTTCTGCTCCTGTCAGCTAAGAACAGGAAACTGAAGTTACAGTGGGCACAGGCTCACCAAAACTGAACAGTTTAAGAGTGAAAAAATGTTGTCTGGTCTGATGAATCATCATTCCCGCTGCAAAATGCAGATGGTAGGGTCAGAATTTGATGTAAACAACATGAATCCATGGATCCATTCTGCCTTGTGTCAACAGTTCAGGCCGGTGGTGGTGTAATGATGTTGGGAATGTTTTCCTGGCACACATTAGGCCTCATAATACCAATTGAGCATTGTTTAAATGCCACAGCCTACCTGAGTATTGTTGGTGACCATGTGCATCCCTTTATGGCCACAGTCTACCCATCTTCCAGCAGGATAACGCACCATGTCACAAAGCACATGTCATCTCAAGCTGGTTCCACGAACATGACTGAGTTCAGTGTACTTCAATGGCCTCCACAGTCACCAGATTTCAATCCAATAGAGCACCTTTGGGATGTGGTGGAACGGGAGATTTGCAGTATGAATGTGCAGCCGACAAATCTGCAGCAACTGCATGATGCTATTATGTCAACATGGACCAGAATCTCTAAGGAATATTTCCAGCATCTTGTTGAATCCATACCATGAGGAATTCAGGCTGTTCTTGGGGCAAAGGGGAGCCCTACCCAGTACTAGAAGGGTGTACCTAATTAAGTGGCCACTGAGTGTAGGTACCAGGATGACAGCTGCCTGTCACGAGTAGCATCCTGAGGAATATAGTCAATTGCTTGAATGGGAGGACTTCAATAAACAAAGGGTTTCCTATTTCTATTTTGATTATACCATTTAGACCTCTTTGTTTCAAATGTGTGTGAACCCAATTTATGGAATACTGATAGGGCTTTCTCTATATATTGGAAAATTGAAACATCTGAATGATCTACAAACTTGGTTAACTGAAACACCAAACTTCACAAATTAAGTAATGTGAAATAAAATAATGATACCTCACTGACTGAATGCTTTGTATCTATTCTTACCAACATAATTTAGAAATTAAAATCCCATCACCATAACCATCATAATTAGTTTAACTACTCTCAATAGCACTTAGCCACCCTTCTAGTGTAAGTACATAATTTTGTGGGAAATTAGACAGAATATCACAACAATCATATTAATAAAAACTATTCCTACTACTATCCATAGTATGCATTCAGTTAAAAGGTAGCATTAAACCAATTACAGTTATATAAAAAAAAATTGGGCAAGGACTTATTTCTCAAGCTCATTAAATAGATTCAACCTAGCCATGTTTTATGTGCAGTTTAATTTAGTTTTAATGAACTTTGCAAAGTCTTCCATTCAATGTCCATTAACTTGGAAATGCATTGTACAGTATAGTAATTGTTTATGCCTGGAATATTGTTAATGCTTAAAAAGGGCACAGGACTATTGTTATCCAGGTTTAAAGTGCATCCTGCTCAAGTTAATATCTAACCACCTTCAACTTTGATGAGCTTCATGTGAGACTTCATTTTGATACATCATTAGCTAGATTTCATCCAACTAAGCTTTATATTGCATGTTATGGTACATCCAATAGTACATTAATGGATTTGTGTATAAGGTTACCTTTGCTCATACAAATTTTAACTTTCACAAAAATGCAATGCAGTAGGCCTACTGGTTTACTTTTAAGTTAGGCTTAGGCAGGGTGTGTATTGACTAAGTGCCTGATCAGCTGGGCTGTGATGGCTATTTGGGCCTGTGAGACATGAAACATCCTTTAGTTCAAGAGAGAAGCTTGAGGGTAGAACCCTTAAAATGGTTCATCAGTATGAGCAATGGCATCTACAGAAAGTCTCCACTGAATAAACTCCTTCAGTCTGTTCAATCCAGAGAACAATTCATGTTTTACCAACTTCCCTTTCTAAGATGTTTTATTTATTCCTTTGTACTTGAAATTCCACTACCAAACATCCTAAATGCTTGAAGTTTTCACTTTACATCATAAATCAAACAGGGTTCTCACTTACTTGTGCATACTGTGTCATATCTAAATCATTGTAGTATGGGTTGGCTGGTAGATTATGGTCAAGGTGGGGTCCAGCCAACAGATCTGGTATCGGCATAGGCCACTGTATATCAGCAATAACAGTTCCATGACCACCCAGTCCTCCAACTACAGCTCCCCGTTCAGACCTCTTCTGTGCACGCTCTGTACCAATTGGTTGTAGTTTTGCATGACGCTCTTCTGGTAATTGGGCCAAACCTCCAGTATTGGCAGCAGACGCAGTCTGAGTTGGAGAGGCTGGGTTGGATGAGTGGGGTGATGCAAGAGGGGACGAGTTGTCTTGTGATCCTCCACTGTTTCTGAAAGCAGCATTGACTCCAACTGAAGCTGGGATGGCTGCCAAAGGTGGTGGATTACGTGGCATAATCCCAATCATATCATTAAATGACAAAGTGTCTAGCCCAGCTGGAAACTGACTAATTCCACCAAATCCTGATCCAAGAGAATGTGTAACTGTTGATGCCCCATTCTGAAAGGCAGCTAACTGAGAGCTAGGTGGAAAAGTCGGTGGTGGCACAAAAGCCCCAGATCTGCTAGTAAAATCAGGTGCATTAGGGTTAAGGTTGCTTTGAATCTGTGGAGCTGCTGATATGGGTGCCAAAATATTATTGGTGAATACTGCATGGGTATTAGTTTGTGGTGTGGTAAATCTAGGACCATTCATCATTCCTGCAAGCTGAGCCAAAGAAGGTAGCTGTTGCTGCTGTTGTTGTTGCTGTTGCTGCTTTTGTTGATGGAAAGAGCCCATGGTCATTTCAAGTGGTGGTGGTGGTTTACGATAAGGCTGGCCAGGGGCTAGGTTAACTAAGTCAGAATGGTCAGGTTGTGGAATGGGGACACGAGGAATGGATGACACAGGACCCCCAGGTGCTAAACTGGCCATAGAAACACCTGAATAAGGTTGCTGCCCCATGTTCATACCTGACTGTGACATATGGCCACGATTTGGTAATGGACCACTAGGCCCTAGTGAGGCAGATTGCAATCGCACCAATGGCGACAATACGGATGGAGGAGTACGCGATGGACCAGGAAGTAGAGCAAATGATGCAGCACCCATTTCCAAAGAGGATCTTGGGATAGGAGGAGTTGCAGTTTGGCGGGGAGGTGGAGGTGCAATAGGCCTCACTGATGGAGAGGCTACAGGAGTTCCAGGTGCACTCCGAGCCATACTGGTAGCCCCAGGCTGGTGTGGTCCAGATAAAGGCATAGGCACAGGAACACTGCCTGGTGGACTTCCAGAGGCAACAGATGCCATTTGGCTACTGACTGTGACAGTGGATGTCGATCCTCTATACCCAGGAGCACGAGTAACATCAGCCATTGGGAGTTGATCAACAGGTTCCATGTAATTATTGACTTGCCCACCTCCCAAATGCTGGTGATGCTGCTGCAGCATCTGAGGTGGCATCTTATTATTACCATTTGGCACAAGCCCGGCTGCAGCCACGGATGCAAAATTTACCTGTTTCTCTTTGGCACCCCACATGGCTTCATGTGTTACTTGGCTGAGGCGGTTGTTAAAGATAGAATACTGTTGACTGATCATTCCATTATTATTAGTTTCTGGAACATTTTTATCCTCTCCCACAATATTTTCTGAAGAATTAATAACATTATTTGTTAACCCTGACTGAGCAGGTTTAGGAGATGCAACCAACGGCGGTGTTGAACTTTTGGTTGAATTTTTCGAGTCTGCCAGCTTTGCAGCAAAAGTTTGATGAGGTTCACTTGGCATGGATACACTTACTGAGTGGGAATTATTCAATGTTTTACTCGCAGATGAGGTAGCAGGAACAGATTTCTTCTCTCCAGGGAATAATTGACGAACAGCTGGACTTTTGGGAGTAGAGAAATTCAGTGAACCGACAGTTGACACTGACCTAGCTTGTATTGGCATCCGCTTTGGCGATGAAAGAGCATTAGACCATGCCGTAGTTGTAGTGGTACTAGACTTAGCGACAGTTATGCTGATAGTAGATGATGTAACAGTAGCCATACTAATTCCAATAGTGCTGGCAGGTCGTAAAGCTTTACTACCTGATTGTAAAACAGAATTATCAATATTGATTTTCGAAGGCTTAGGAGCAACCTTGGATACCGACTTGGGAAGCAGTTCTGAGAGGTCTTTGTCAGGGTCCTTAACCAAGGCAGAAATAAGATTTTGTGCCTGACGTGTGGCTTCTGTAGAGCCTTTGATGCTAATCATTCTATCACCTTGACTTTTACCTTGCTTCTCCACCTCAATGTGTGCTCCAGAAACTTCACGAATGGTGTTTATATTGCAGCCACCTCGACCAATTACTCTACTTATTGCACTGTTGGGAACAGAGACTTTTTTGGCTTTTCGACTTACTTCTTTCCACCCCTCTTCACGTCGAGTCCCTTTCTTAGGACTTGTACCTAGCCCAGGCGTAGATTTGGCATTAGGACTAAGGGACGGTGCGCTTAGAGTAGTTGAAGCACTACCGACAAGGCCAGGAATAGGAGTTACATAGTGATCAACCTCACCAAATGTATCCAAGGCATTGATGCGTGAGGAATCATGGGACAATTTCTTATTATTCACTGGTTTTATATTATCTAGACGGAAGATATCAAGTTCATTCATTATTCCACTGGCTTTATTCTCCTCCTCTTTCTTTTTCTTGCTCTTTGAATTTAAGGAATTTGAGGCACTGAACTGTGGCTGGGTAATGTTAGAATTAGGCGTCAACTTTTTAAGTTCGATGCTTTCACTATTAGGGATGGGAGAAGGGGTTCCATTTTGTTTCTGACTGGCAGTGGTTGAATCTCTCATTGAAGATTCCTTTCTCTTTTTCTTTGTTCTTTTTCCCTGTTTGTCATTTTCCTCTGTTACTTTGGTTTCAGAAGTTGCACTAGTTTGGCTATTTGAATCTATGCCACTATCGCCATCCTTCTCTTCAGGAGCAATTTGCTCCACAACTCTCTGAAGAGCATTTGCTTCATTTTTCTCTCTCTTAGTTTGCTCCTCATGATGTTCTTGGTCCTCATTACTTCCATTTTCATCATCATCATCCTCATAATTATCACTACCATCATCATTTCTCTTCACTTCTTCCAAACGCCGTTTCTCCTCTTTCTTTTCTTGCTTTTTAGCCTTTTTCTTGAGTCTGCGCCGGGATGCAGCCGCTTTCTTTGATTCTTCTCGAGAACGTTCCTGCTCAAGTTCCTCCAGCAGAATAGATGCATTTTTGTTAGCTTCCAAGGCCTGTCCTGTCTTTGGCTGCCCGAATAACTTCCAAACAGTTGGTACATTTTGTGATTAGCTCCTTGTCTCCTAAAGTGGCTATATACCGCTGCAGTTCCTGGTCAGATGGGAACTGAGAAACATTTCGTACCATGTACTTAACCACTTTATAATGACCCCTTTTAAATGCTGCCATGAGGCAGGAGACTTTTCTGTTGTCCTCTGAGTCGATGTCAGCAGTGGCACTATAAAGTAGTTGCACAACTTCTAAGTGACCACCATTAGCAGCCAACCACAAAGGGGAATTGCCTTTTTTGTTCTTTACCTCAACTTGAGCACCTCTGTAAAAATAGAATCACATACATTAAAATAGAACAGTAATAAAATAGGTATAGACTTTCACTATAATATAGTATTCTGAGGCAACAATCATTTCTGTGTTCAAAAATCTTCAGCCCATTACAGGCAGATGTATTTCAGGTAAGACCGCATTTAACCCTTTCGCTGTCCATCACATACAACTACATCGCTGAGCTTGGGACCCTGACGTAGAACTATGTGTAAATTCAAGTGGCTTTAAATTTAGCTCAAGAGGTCTAGTAGGCCTACACAAAAAGAGAATGGGTCTGCATGGTCAGTGTGCATAGTACATGTATAAAAAATCAGGGCCCCTGCAGTGCACTGTGGGAATGCCATATTTCATATACTGTTCACCATGCTGTGCAGTTGGAAAACCCTTACTTCAAGACAAATTGATCATCATCTTTTTTCAAGTGATAGTTTTAACAATAAGGATTATGGAACTGATGATGAGCTCTATGGTTCTGAACATTTAGCGATGTTCAGGATGCCAGAAATATTGATGAAAATCCTAATGACCCACAACCATCCACTTCCTGGGCTTGTCCATCTGAAACATGTCCACCTTTACCAAACCATAAGTGAAAGCTCATATTCTCCTATGGCATGGGCTCAAACGTGAATAATGGTGATGACAGTGATGTGCATTTTGATTTCCTAGCTATTAATGACCACTAATAGTGACAGTGATGAACAATATTCACCTGTGAAGTGCTATTATTATTATAATAAAAAAAGAAGCGCTAAGCCACAAGGGCTATACAGCGCTGCAGGGTAGGGAAGGAAGCGAGGGTATTGGATGGCAGAAGGGAGGAGGGATGATCAGCAGGTTACAGAAAACAGCGGGGCAGGGGATAGTACGGGGGTAGAGAGTAGCAAGAAATTGAAGTAGAAAGGGCTGAAGGTATCAAAATTTGTGAACTAAGTCAGTTGTTGTCAAAAAGTCAATGAGAGAGTCTGGATGAAAGGTGGGTCCATCAGCGAGAAGGGAAGGTAAAGAGAGAGCAGCGGAGCGAAGACGACGACGACAGGTAAATTCTGCGTGCTCATTGATAAAGTGGGCAGTCCAACAGAATGTGGCTGACTGATAATGGAGCTTGGCAATTCTCACAGAGAGGAGCAAGACGCCTCTCCCTGAGATATCCATGAGTAAGACAAGTATGGCCAATGCGAAGACGGGAGAGAGTAGTCTCCCAACCTCGACACTGGTGATAAGAAGACGGCCAGTAACCTATACTCGGTTTAATAGATTGAAGTTTGTTGCCGAGCATAGTAGACCAACGTTGTTGCCAACGGGTGTGAAGGTGGGAAGATATTGCAGCAAAATAGTCCGTAAATGGAATACCTCTATAAGAAACTGGTAGGTCATGTACTGCTGACCGCGCAGCAGTGTCTGCCTGTTCATTGCCCTGTACGTCAACATGACCAGGGACCCAACAAAAAACAATATCTTTATGCTTGGTAAAGATGCTGCGTAGCCAAAGTTGGATACGGAGGACTAAGGGGTGAGGTGTATCAAATTTTTGTATAGCCTGTAAAGCACTAAGGGAGTCTGAGACAACCACAAATGATGACACAGGCATAGATGCAATACGGATAAGTGCTGTAAGGATGGCATATAATTCAGCAGTAAAAATACTAGCCGAAGATAGTAAATGCCCTTGTACGACGCTGTCCGGAAACACTGCTGCGAATCCTACGCCGTCAGAAGACTTAGAGCCATCTGTGTACACAGCAATGGCATGAGAATGAGAGTGAAAGTGGTCAAGAAAAAGAGAGCGGGAAGCGACCGTAGACAGTTGGGCTTTCGAGCAAGGGAGGGAGAAAGAACAGACTCGAACAGCTGGAACTTCCCAGGGGGGTAGGGAAAAGTGAGATGCTACATGTACATAGAAAGGTGGTAGTTGAAGAGAAGACAAGAGCGAATGAAGGCGAAGAGAGAAGGGATGGAGTAAACAGGGGCGGCGAACAAATAAAGAATGTCTACTAATATCAGTGACCATTCTATAAATGGAAGGATTGCGGAGATCATGAGAGCGTACATAGTAGCGCAGGCAATGGGCATCACGGCGATCGGATAAGGATGGAACGTTCGCTTCTGCATAGAGGCTCTCGACGGGAAGAGCGAAAAGCACCAAGGCATAAACGCAATCCTTGGTGATGAATGGGGTTAAGGCTAGAGAGAGTAGCAGGAGATGCCGCTGAATAGATCTGGTCACCATAATCAAGTTTCGATAAAATAAGGGTGGAATGTAGGCGAAGGAGGGTTCGACGATCAGCTCCCCATGAAAGATGAGCAAGGGTTTTAAGAGGGTTCAGCCGGCTGTGACAAGTTGCCTTCAGAGAGGTAATGTGAGGTTTCCAGGATAACCTACGATCAAAGAGGAGGCCCAGAAACTTGACTGTATCACGTTCAGGGATACGGGAGCCATAGAGGTACAAAGGATGACCGGAGATGACAGAGCGTCTAGTGAAAGTAATTTGGTGGGTTTTAGTGCTGGAAAATTTAAACCCACGTGTGGTGGCCCAATTGGAAACACGGTCGACTGCATGTTGGAGAGAGACTGTAATGAGGTGACAGTCAGCGCCTGCACAGGCAATAGCGAAGTCATCAACATAGAGTGATGACCAAATATTTGATGGAAGACTAGAGGCCAAATCATTAATAGCAAGAGAAAAAGTGTTGTGCTCAGAACACATCCCTGGGGGACACCTTCAGCTTGGATAAAGTCCGGGGAGAGCACATTATTAACCTGAACACGGAAATGCCTGTCAGTTAAAAAGTTCTTAAGGAAGGATGGTAGATTGCCTCGAAGGCCTAAGGAGTGGGCTTGGGCTAAAATATTATACCTCCAAGTTGTGTCATATGCCTTCTCAAGGTCAAAAAATATGGCAATAACTGAGTGGTTATTCGCAATGGCATTACGAACATACGTAATCAAACGTAGTAAGGGGTCTATGGTAGAACGTCCCTTACGAAAGCCATATTGACGAGTGGAGAGACTGTTGTGTGTCTCTAAATACCACACTAAACGTCTATTTACTAGGCGTTCCATTACTTTGCAAACTGCACTGGTAAGAGCAATGGGACGATAGTGGGAGGTTTCATGTCCCGTAGTGCCTGGTTTGCGGAAAGGGAAAACAATGGCGGATTTCCACAGCTGTGGAAGAACTCCTTGTGACCAAATAAGATTGTAAAGGCGTAATAGGACTGCAAGGGCTGACTGATGTAAATGTTGTAGCATACGAATATGAATGTCGTCGGGCCCAGCTGCCGATGATCGACAAGCTGAGAGTGTTGCCTCCAGTTCTTGAAGTGTAAAAGGCACATTATACTGTTCTTCTCTGAGAGAAGAAAAGTCCAAGGGTGCTAACTCTCTGGCAGACTTTGAGGAAAGAAATGAGGGGCATAGATGGAGTCCCTGAGAAATACGGACCAGATGATTGCCAATTTCATTGGCAACATCTAGTGGGTTTGCTATATCAACACCGGCAACCTGCAGAACAGGAGCCGGGTCAGGAGAATATCTACCACTCCAGTTTTCGTACTTTTTTCCAGACTGCACTCATAGAGGAAGCAGAGGTGATGGTGGAGACATAATCTCGCCAGCAAGTGCGTTTAGTGTCACGGATGACACGGCGAGCGATCGCACGCTTCTGTTTAAAATCAAGGAGTCTCTCTGTGGTTCTATTGTACCAGTACCTGCCCCATGCAGCGAGTTTCAAACGTACTGCACGAGCACAAGCAGGAGACCACCAAGGCACGCATTTCTGAGAATGCCTGCCCGAAGTTTGGGGTATAGAATGAGAAGCTGCGGTGAAAACGGAGGACGAGAAGAGGTGTAAAAGCTCATCGATGGAGGACGAAGAAGGAACCTCTTTAAAAACAGTTAGGTGTGAGTAAAGGTTCCAATTTGCCCGATTAAATTGCCAGCGTGGGGTGCGAAGAGGTGGCGAATATGAAGGGGAAGTAAGAATGATTGGGAAATGATCACTGTCATGTAAGTCCGGGAGAACAGACCAAGTGAAGTCTAAGGCGGCGGAGGAAGAGCAGACTGAGAGATCGATGCAAGAGAGAGTATGAGTCCGAGGATCAAAATGGGTGTGAGTACATGTATTTAAAACATGCAGGGGGTGGGTGGCAAGAAAAGCCTCTAACTGAATTCCACGGGAATCACAGTGAGCCCCCCCCCCCCAGAGGAAATGGTGGGCATTAAAATCACCAAGTAACAGAATCGGTGGCGGTAATGATGAAACAACGAAGGCAATATCCGGAATAGATAATGCCCGAGAAGGAGAGAGATATAAAGAACAGAGCGTATACCACCTATGTAAGTGGATACGGGCTGCTGTGTAATGCAGCGAAGTATGAACAAATAGCTGATGGTACGGAATATCAGTGCGTAGAAGAAGGGCACTTTCATTAAAGGTCCCATCAGGAAAAGGATCTGAAGAATACAATAAATTATAGCCTGAGATGGGAGAAATAACAGCAGAGTTTAATTTTGGTTCCTGTAAGCAAACACCAACAGGGGCAAACTGGGAGAGTAGCATCTGAAGCTCACCCCGATTACCCCTGAGGCCGCGTATATTCCGCTGTAAATAGGCCATGATTGGCAATGATAAAAATACTTGAAATCCGCAGGTAAGGGTTCCTACGGACTAGAGGGGTTAGAAAAGTCCACATGCGGAGGCAGTGGAAAACGTTCAAGCAGCGAAGGAATGGTGCGCTGTGAAGAAAGGAGTTGCGCAGATGGAGCAGAGGAGAGAGAAAGAGCGGAAGGTGGATCAGTGTCCATTGATGGATTGGTCTCTGCAATATATTCAGAGATTGCTTCAAGTGTTTCTGAATTCAGAGACGTCGTATGGGAGACAATATTGGAAATGGTAGGGGGAGGATGAGTAAAGATTGGAACTGTATTGGACTGTACCAAGGTAGGGGGGGGCAAAAGGGTGGAGGGAACTGGAGAAGCGTGGCAGG